GACACAGACGCCATCCTTGGGAACGTTTTTCACCATCACTGTGACAATGACTTGAGATTCTGTTTGGTACCAGTCGTGTCTGCAATAACAAACAAGGATATTCTTCAACAGGCCTAGAATTGTTTTCCTCGTATCATGCAATGAACCTCCAAGTTATAGAACCAGGACCCATGATAATAAAGGAGATATGTTGAAGATGTACCACTTTGTAACCAAAAAAATTGGAAGCATTCTCAAAACATGAACCCAACTGTCTAATGCACTTACTTTACTACAGGTGCTGCTGGCTGTTGCTGGGACATCCATGAGTTGATATTTTGAGATGAACATGTGTTGATGGGGGAAATGCAGAGGCAAAATAAGAGAGAAAAAAGATTTGGTGAGGCTTGACTCTATTTAGCAGGTGCATCTTTCCAAGCAGCTAATGCTGAGAACAACAGCTCCCCCTAGTGGCCACAGGTGGAAACTCACCTTGGGGACATCGCCGTTCTGTTTTTCTTCTGAGAACAAAGAGAGAGAGAGAGAGCAGAGTCATGTATGAAGCAGGTGCAAGGGTGAAACATCTTTTTGTAACTTAAAATCAAGGACAAACTGTGCTGTCCTGAAATGCACATTTAAGTGAAAAGTGACACACGCCTAGTTGCTGATTTGTTTATCGGCCCATCCACGCCCATTAACAGGGCGCCTGATCACCATTTAACAGCATGCTTTCATACATTATTCACAGACTTCATTACAGAAAGCGGGAGCACAGAGACAGAAGACAGAGATGAGATGATTGGAGGCGTGTTAATGTTGTCTTAACGAGGCCACGTTTGAAATGCAAGTGTGTGTGTGTAAATGCATATGTGTGTGCATGTGTGTATATGCTTGTGCGTGTGTATGCGGAAGGGGGCTTGCTCATGGGGAATGAGGAGCTGCGTGTCAAAAATCATGACTTTACCAGATGCTTTGTGCTGACATCAAATTAACGCCACAGGATTTGAAGACACAACAGTTTGTCCTGGTGTGAGTGTGAGGCAATGTAGAATGTTTCTAATTTTGGTACAGTTTTGTGCCTTCACAGCCTTTGTGTACCAGTGAGGGGGTTTATAGAGGGGGGCAGGTCTTGTTGGGTGCTTTGAAACATCGACAACGTTAACTATGATGAATCATATGGCCCATGGGAGTAGGTGTGTGCGCGGGTATGAAGCCTGTTTGTCAAAACTCATGCTCTTGTTTATTTGATGATCCAGTAGGTCCCAGCATGAGCATCAGTAAATGCACCACACAGGCAGCCAAAAACTGTTTATTGGATGGAGTAGTTCAGTCTGACTATTCCTCAACTGTAAGCTCACATTTCCATCTGTTCATTCAATAGTGATGTTCATGTCAGAGTAAAGGAACGTTCAATCAATTATGATACAGAGAAGTTATTTTTAAACAATGATTGTAACTCAAAATAATCATCACCACATGACGTATGTTTGAAAAGGTCAGTTAAGGTCACAACTGACTCAGTAAAGATAGTAATTGGATGTTTTAACTTTGTTCCGTGTCCTTATAGATGAGCATACATTACAAAAAGCAACTTTCCATGGAAAATATGTCCACTTACCACCCATTTTCTCTTCACAACGCTTGATCCAGACCTCAAAGGATTTGTCTGAAACTGTTAAGTCATAAAAAGAAAAGAGTTACTTTTTGCCATTAAGAATGTACATGCAGATGGGAGACAGAAGCACAATGCTCTGCACCAACTTCAGGAAGACCAATATGGAAAATCAAATCTATGAATTAAAAAAATATATATTATTAGTTCAACAATCCTAAACTGGCAACACATATATTATATACTACAACATCAATCATTTGACATAAAATATTATGTTGATAATAGACAATGACCAGATTATATAATTTAATTGATAAATCAATATTTAATCAATTGTGTTTCAGTGTGTCTGCAATTGTTAATGTTAACAGTTATTATTGTGCAAAAAGTTAATGGATGGTAAAATTAACCCCTTAACAATAGAAATGTCACCAAATACTTTATTTATTTATTTTATTTAAAATATATTGCAATAACTGTATACTTTAATAGATTGTGTTATCAAAGACGATGTGTTACTTGATACTTACGCATAACATTAAAACAAATTACTATTGCTATATCAAAGGATACATAATTTAATGTAGTAGTTTACTGCATTCCCCCACAGAACTTGAATCCTTTTAAGTCTGTTCTTAAAGATGTGAGTTACAGAGTGACGGTGCAGGAGGAGGTGAGTGGGAGGTTGTGAAGTTTGTACTGAAGCATGAACTCACCGTCGAGCTGCTGTCCCTGAGTGAAGGCTGCGTGTGCCGGCTCCAGATGGTTCAAGTGGTACTCTGCTATTCTACAGGCAGCACAGAAGCAAACTGCATTTATATCACCACAACAAATGGTCTGCAGCATTTAATAAGCTTTTACCAAACTAAAGTACAACAGATAAGATACATACCCTGTGCGCATAAAAGCCTGTGGAAGATTAGGTTTTAATTGTTGAGCTTTCCTAGCATCATCAATTGCACCTGCAAAAAGATATGTTATATCTTTAATTTTAAAATGTTAGCATATCATGAAAGCTTCTGCTATGAATATGTTTTTAAAAGACGTTTATCACACATCACATGCATTTCATTTTCTGATTAAATGTTTTAATATTGGTTCAAAAATCTGATTTTACTTCTCCTGCATGATATTTTTTGCCATTCATACTCAGATACCCCATTACAAATGGAATTTCCAAAATTTCAACACAAACAGTTTTGCAAATATAATTTAAATGATCATTTTTAATGGAATATAACTTAGTGATATAGTTCTGTGTGTGAATTTCAGTACTGTGTGTGAATATCATGTTAATCAATTTACATACAGGTGTAAGGTACACTTTCGTTAAAAGGGCAGACTGGTGAGGTGTCTTGCCAAAGATCAAACTGCCAACCTTCATCTCTGCTTCATCCCTAGTATTTTTTCCTTCTATCCAGTTCTCTCTTCTGTGTAAGATTCATATACCTGACCATGACTATTTAATTCCATTCAAGGTTTTATCACATAAGTGTTATCAAGATAAAAAAGATACATTATATAATCATGCATTATAAATATATGATGTAAACTTACAACTGTAGTTCTTCAGAAGGATGTGGGCATAGGCACGCTGGCAGAACCACTCAGCATTGTCTGTTTCTTCCTGCAGGGCTTTGTTCAGTGCCTATAAAATGTCAAAATACAAAGGTTGAATACTGTATGAAACATTTTAGTTCAGTTCAGTTCTGCACTGCTCTGTGGTCATTATAATTTAAAGGTGCACTATGTAAGTTTTCTGGGGTCGGGTCTGTCTCCTGCTTGTCTCATGAATACCTGGAATGTCACAGTATGGTTGCAACTCGGCCAAATTTTATGACATTTCAAAATGACATGTCAAAAAAAACCAACCAAACAAACAAACAAACAAAAAAAACAAGGAAAGAAACTATGACGCATGACACCCCCTCAATCAGTGGGTTTCAGAACAATAAAGATTTAAAAAATAAATACTATATCTTTTAAATTGGAAAAAAATCAAAATGTTGCATATTTATTGATACTTTGCAGCTGGTGTCATCAACATTCCCTAGAGGAGTGATGCTAAGAGTAGACATAGCTTTGTCTGAGGCTTTGTTACCCAAGTTATACTTATGAGTTTTGTTTTAACACAATCTGACCACAAAGAACAGAGTTATAGGAACTACAACATGTGAGCTAATCTGTGCTATTAAACAAGTCTCTCACACATAAAATTACAGTCACAAGGTAGCTAGCATTAGCCAGCAGCTTTTTTAGTTAATCCCTCTCACCTTTTTGTTGAAAATAAAACGCCTAAACAGAACCATGAATGCTCATATTGATCTTGAAAAGGTGTCCATTTTGGGTGTTTTGGGTGTGTGTATGTGTGTGCTTCCAGACTATCTTGATACTTTTTTGACAGTGTTTGCTGATTTGTGGATTGTGTCACCATGGTAACTCCTAAGCATTCCACCACTAGAGATAAATGAAGAAAACCCCCAGTATGAAGCAAAGTGGGTTCCAGCTGGATATCACCCGTATGAATAGCTTTGCAACTTAATGAAAGTGAAACTACCTTCAGTACTCCTATCTACTACAGACAGCATAACGAAATATAAGGCTCGAAATTACAACAAAATAAAAAGACATGTGAATATGGTATTAGGGGTTTCAAGGGTAGTTATCTGTACTCTCATTTGTATAGTTTTAATGAAGAGTCAGCAGGGTAAAATGTCAAGGAAATGTTAGCAACATAGACATCAGGATAAGCAGGTTGAGAAAAATTTTGTTTGACACCAAATGAACCACATTAACTTAAATGATGAAAATAAATAAAACGAACTGATGAACATGATGAAGCGGTTTGTTTACCTCTAGAGCTTTCTGTGGATCCTCGTCAATCAGGCTATCAGGGAAACTGCTAAAAGGAACGACAGACTTTAAGCAGTGGTTATGAGTGTATGCAGAATAACAGATACGAGATGAGGGGTTGAGAAACTTGCCGTTCTGTTGCCATCGCCGTACCGGGGACTTCACTGTGCTAAGGGAAAGTTCTAGATGAGTGTCCGTCCGCGGAAACGTGAAACAGCAACCACTGCTTAGAGCTGCGACCGACAACATCCGGCTACGGTCCGGACACAGCGACAGCAGCGCCCCGTGCGGTCTGGAGGGGCCACACAACAGCACCACCTCAATAAAGACGATGGATATCCATGAGGATACGATAAACCAGCAATAAAGGAACTGTAACCTGCGCTGTAATGTTATGTTTTTATGCGTAGGTAAAATAAATACTGATTGACGTAAGAATGATAAAATAGTCTGTGTGTCAACAAACCCTCAGGTCAAATGACATGTTGCTCCTCTGAAAATGAAAAAACATTAGATTTAAATAGTCACAACTGAATGTAAATACAAGCCAGTATGACTTTATGAGCAAGTCGCTTTATTCTTGCATAGGCTAATTGGGTGCAAAAGGCATATAGTCTATAAAGCAAATCAAAGTTTTATAAACCTGAGGGAAATGGCAAAAACACAGTTATACAGTATATTGTATAATAACCAATACATAAAGACATTAAGGCTTTAGAGGTCCATAGAAGTTAACAATATATGTATAAGAACACAATAACCACTAAATAATGACAAGTACACATAAGGCACAAAAGCAAAACAAGCAACAGCTTCATGTCACTGTTGATTGTCACAGAAGAGCAGCAGTGTCAGACTGCAATTTCAGAAAAAACAATAATCCCTTGTTTTCAATCATTCACAAACAAAAGCAGTAAATTAATGGAATGTTTCCCTTGACATCCTCATTGTCCTAAAAAAACCAAGGACACTGCAACCAGTCTTCAGGCACTTAAACAGCAGGAGTAACCTTTAGTGCAATCCCATTTACAAGGCAGACTTTAATTAGCGTGCAACAGTTAAGACACATACGATAGTAAGACTGAGAGCAGGGCACAGTGTGATCATCAGAAAATCACTCCAAAATCAGGAGCAGGAGTGCAAGCACGTGTCTGCAGATAATGCAGCAAAAGAGCTTCCAGTGCATGTAACTTTGGTGTATGAAAGATAAAGGGCAATAAAAATGTTAAATAATGCTGAGATAAAGACAAGCTCATAAGATTACACATTTTTGCCCAAGAGGTTGTCCTGTTACATCTTTAGAAACCATCTGTGACTGAATCTCACCTTCTTACATTTTTTCACTAACTTATGCCTCCTTTTCCCAATTTGACATTTAGAGGAAAAATGCCTCTACTGGAGGAGGCCAAAATATATTTACATAAAAGAAAGTGGTATACTTGAATAAAATCAATAATGCCCGTTTTTGACATGTCATACTTCTCACACCATAGACTGTATAAAAAAATGGACTAAGTGAGTGTGACATCACCCATAGCGTTTGTAAGAGTGAATTTGGAGCCAGGCTCAACGTTAGGAAAATAATTTTTTTTAACGGACAAAATAGCAAAATAAAAACACCAGGATTAATATGAAAATTTTAAGACCCAAATGAAAAGGGTCACTGCAGCAATTACAGTGGGAGGGGTGACAATATTCAAATGTAAGTCAATGGGAGCCAGGGTCAGTAGGAGCCAGAAGAGCCTGCATGCAAACTTCTTATTTGGGACGCAGTGGCTAGCGAGTTATCCATGTTCATTTTTATATACAGTCTATGTTTCACACTGACTATACTGGAATTGCCAAAAGCTAACATATATGTTTTTGGTGTGAGGAAATAAAATATATACATGTATAATTTTCACAATACTAAAGATAATCTAAAGACAATTAGTTATGGAGAAAGATTAATTTTCTCTGATATTGTGAGATTCAATCACACGTGGTGACCACTCAGAGATATAACAGGGCACTGAGCGGAGTACCTGTACTAATAAAAAACAAGCATATTGTGTGCTGCAGTGATGTTTGGTCAGGCTTTAGATCAACAGCATAAGTTGATGTTGTATAAATAGTTGGGGGTCTTCATAGATTTGTGCTAGGCTACATAATGCACAAGCTACACAGTTTCCACTGTTGTTTTTCCACAGTGCGACTTTTTCTCTCCATTGTTGAGAGCAGGTTTACTGTCCACTGCCACTTCAGCTGCTGCTTGCCGCTCACACAGGCTCCCCAGCAGCTGAGCGGTTTTGAAGACGGAGCCATGACCTGATGGTTGCAGAGACTGGACCTTCTGGAGGTTTTGAAGGGTCCGCAGCATCTCCGCAGAAACGATGGGCAGATGCTGCTCCTGGATGAGGCTGTTCTTGGCTGACCTCAAGACTGTCTCACGCTGGGCTGAAGCCTTTGGAGTTATCCTGGTCTTTGGACCGGGGGGTCGTATAGACATTTTCTTTTGTGGAGGTGGGCAAAAAGTCTCCTGGTCAAATGACTGGTCACCTGAAGATATTGTGCTGTCGTCTGATTCACTGTCAGTTTCATCAGAGCTGTTTTCTTCATCCTCTTCTTTGGAACCTTCTCCGTCAGTTATATAAATCATATCTTTGGGCAGTGAAGTGAACTGGTAGACTAAACGTTGACCCTCCACCTTGTTCAGAATACCTCTCTGGTAGTAGTACCTAGGAGGCATAATTAAAGTACAGTAAAATGTACAATGATGGCAAATACCTCATATGAAATAACATAGAAGCTAAAATGAGAGTGAACCCTAAAATCCCTGTTTACAATATAGTTTTAAAGAGCTTGATACCAGCTTCAACCACAAGAGGTCACAAGTCCCCAAATAGCTCGTAGTGGTTCCAAGCTCAAGTAAATGGGAGATGCTTGCAATTCATATATTCTATTACGATATTATTGTGAGACCTTTGATACAATGACATAACAATGTCACGATTATTGCTTCATACTTTATATTAACATACTTTCCTTAAAAAAGTATGCTTGAATGCACAGATTTGTGCATATTAAATATAAAATAATAAAGAGATTACAGTATTTGAGTAGTAACTGTTGTGTAGTACCTTAGAGCTCGGCCCATTGTCTCATAATTCATGTCAGGTTTGTTCTTGTGTTTGCCCCAGAGTCTGGCAACAGCTTTTGAATTGACCAATTTGAAGATCCCTTGGCGATGATCAGTCCATTTGATGTAGCGGGGGCAGACTTGTCTGTCTTGTAGCAATTCCATCAAGAATTGCCACAGATACAGTGTGGTTCCACCTACAGAGAAAAGGAATATACTTAAAATGTGATAACGTGACAAACAGCATATCTCAGTCTAGTGAATGTAATATCTTTCATACTAATGGACTGTATGTTCAGTACCTTTATTATATCTGTCCTTTTTTACAGTAATGTCTGGTGTGGGAGACTCAGCTCTGCGGCTTCTGTATTTCTTTCCTGAAATGAAAAAAATATTAATTAATATCATAATGACTTACATTTACAAAATTCGTTTTACATGAGCTGGCATTGGCTGACCTCTCTTTTTGGACTGAGGGGTAGCAGACTGGTCATGGTGCACAGTGTGCCACAGTGGCTGGTCCACAGCTCCCACAATGCCCTCAGCTGACACGGTCACCTGGGTAACTGGAGCAGCAATGACATCACTCAGTGACGGTAAAAAGGCCTGGGCTGTAGGAGGACACAAATATGTTCAACCTCAGAACAACTGAAACCATCGTGTCTAAAAATGGATTGCCCAGTTCACCAACACTGTTACAGGAAGTGATGAGCAGCTTACAATAATGTTCTTCCAGAGACAGTGTGTCTGCACAGTCCATGTTGAGAAGGGAGTCAGCAGCAACAAGTGTCTCCATGGTTTCTTCTTCACCACTTTCACATGGTTCCACTAGAAAAAAAATAAAAATAAAGGATTTTTAAAAACTGGTCTGGTTAGCACTAGACATATATAAAACTGAACTATACAACTGAAACATGTGTTTTGTGGTTCCATGGACATAAGATGATGGCTACTAGATGCTGCGATAGCCAACATCTGCTAACAGCTGCTCGGTCATCAACTTTTATTTACAGTTGTTACTCCATAATATAAGCTTTGGCAGAGAAACTATGATCGAGTTATCATCTTACCAGAAAGAATAAAGGCAGTGTGAATCGTCAAAAGCAGTAACATGTCTTTGTTATCATCACAGGCATGGGTATCATTAGCAAATTAGCATAGCATTTAAGGCATGCCTAACTTTCAGCTCGCAGACCTCCTAACAAAAAAGTAATACTATGCCGCGTAGTATGCACTTACTCTTAAACATTTGATTAGACATTGGCTAAGACATTGGTGCTGTATCCCAAATTGTCCACGTCATCCTACTATGGAACTTGCCTGTCTTTCAAGACAGACACTAGCCAGGAATGTTTTGTTTTACTTCCTGATTTTTTTTTTCCCCGGAGCATGGTCGGGTCGGGCGGGCTGTTCTGAGCCAAACGATGCGCATGCGCGATTAGAAGTTACCTTTACTTTTTATGTTATTGTGCTTAATTTAGTCTTAGCCAAATCTTGTGTAATGTGCTATAATGGACTGCAGGCAGGTTGTTCAAGTTAGCATGATGTGTCCATGAACACACCTTTGAAAAGATGTTGATGGTCGTCTTTGTTGATCTGTTCACAGGTCAAACCCGAGTAGGACAGCAGGTGCGCATGGGGAACTTGTTCTACTATCACCGCAGGGTAATCAGAGCACGCCATCAGCTGCAAAACACAATACATTACAAATACAATACAGATTAGAATTGTGTGAAGTACAAATAAAAGTTAATTGCAGATGCAGAGTAGTCACCTGTGACATGTTCACATGATCACTAGCAAAATCAAAAATTAGCTCTGACTGTTGTAGCATGGTTGTGTCCAAAGTATCCAGTTTTTAATTTAACAAAAACATAGCTTTTTGATGAACTATTGTTTTGTGTGTCTTTCTGCGCAGGTTGATGAAGTTATTGCCAGTGTGAATTCTCCTCCCAGTCAGACGTGTAGGTTCTCTTGGAGATGGATGGGCCAGTCTCTTCCTCCAATGCAGTATAACTTCGCAATAATGAAGAACATTGATGCTAGTTTACTGATTGACCACAGACACAGAGGCGTCACAGGAAGCTTGTGCTCTGTTTCGATGCTTGATGAGGAAGTGGGGGGGCTGCTAAACTGTCCTGTGGTCGAACTGAAAACCTGCTAAAGAAGAACAAAGAGCAAAGTTTGTATAAAAGGGTGGGGTAGTAGATAATAGATGTCAAAACAACATGAAACATACAACATCTTCATAACAAAATGACAAATTACCCCACATGATGCTGTTTAAGACATCTGCATCACTTACTTTCCTGTGGTGTTTATCACACCACTTTTCTCTCTTATCATACTTCTAAGAGGCACAGGAAGGAAGCATTTGTACTGAGCAATACTTTCTACAGAGCTGTGTGCAGAAGGTGGAGGCGGTCACTGGAGTGGAGCATAAGACATTACAATGTCGTTGGTCGTTGCCCAGTGTTTCAAGGTTACAGAGGGGTTCCGAAATTCTTTGCGTGTCTTCAAATGGCACTTACCAAAGCGACTCGCCTGCTCCCTTTGTTCGCTAATCATGCTGTGTTTTATCTCTGCTTGTCTGGCTTTTTTCTTTCCCTCCAAAAAGGGCTTTAGTCCCTGTCACAACTAATGCTGGCTGGTTTGTTACACCATTTGCTGTGGTTCACAAGGCCTCTGCCCCTTATAATGGCTTTTGTAATCATAAGATGTGCAACCTGTCCTCTAAACAAACAGTATACCTATGCCCCTGTAATAACAACAGTGCTCCAAAAAATGTTTTATTCTCATTCATTTGCAATGCAGTAAAATAATTTGAAAGAAAGATTTTTAGTTGCAAAGGCGCAGCATGTTTGGGTCAGTTATCATTCAGGAAGCACAGCTCAGTTAGGAGGCACCACTTCCTGAGTTTTGCACCAAACCGCTGCCAACATCTCTGCCAGCGGTGTCCTTCTCATTTCCAACTTCCTCTGTTGTTTGCGATAGAAACAAAATACCATCTGGCATACCCATCAGAGTGAAGTAAAACATTAGTTCAAGCAAAAAACAAGCGCTGCACAACATCAGAGCAAACGTGCTGTGTTTATTATAAATATTCAACATAATTAACAATAATTGCAGTTCAAATCGGTTAAAGGAGAGCTTAAAATCACCATATTTTAAAGTTAAGTTTCCTTTGTAGATCTAGTTTATCTATGTTTACCCTTAACTGGGGGTTAACTAACCCTGATCAAGAATTAAACTAAAATAAAACAGGGCTGCATTGGAATAGATTGTTTGAAGGATCTAGGTGATAAAAGTTTGGAATATATTGTTTTGGTCTAAAACATTAATAACTGCGAACGCTTTGTAAACAAGTTCACAGATATGTAGTCCTTGTACTCCCCAACTGGAAAATCAGGATTAGATATTGGCAAGTTGCCTCAATATTTAGCACAAAAAGTATTCAATGCAGATGCAAACTTGTATTTTGGGTTGTTTGGCTTTTGCAGATTAAGGAGGCCATCTGTATTTGACACGTTTTGTGGCGTCTGAGTGGAGGCTGCTCTAGACTGACAAGCTGTATGTGTTAGCTTCCCCTGCAGCTGCCTGTGGCTCTTATACATATCTAACAGTATGGAGCTTTGTTCATCTGCTCTCCTGTCACATAGGTTAGTCTGTGTGAAGTGTGTGCCAGTCCCCCAGGATACTGATAAGCCCCATAACATTCATTCCCCAGTTTGTGTATCAAACAGTGATATAGAAACAGAGGCACATAGGCAGTGTATTTGTGTGTGAACTAGGCCAGGCTGATAACAGTATGCTAAGTGAAGCAGCTGCTGATAAGCGCCTCTTGTTGCTTGGGGTAACACTGGGTTTGTAAAAATGAACGGACAAAATAATGTGAAAGAATATTGAAAGGTGGCTGCAACAAAATTGCTTTTTTGTTATTTAAAAGGGTTAGCAGGTATTTGATAAACAGTGTGGGAGCTTGTTTTAAACAGCAACTTCAAATCCAAATACTTTCACTTTCTTTTATAACTCCTGACTAAACCGTATGAATAACATTTTGTTAAATGTATGATTAAATAAGTGAAAACAAATCATAAGATGCATAAGAATGATTCGCTTGTGATTTCTACAGTAAAACAGAAGCTTTGCTCTTACCTTATGTTTGTACATTGACTTTGTTGCAGATCAGCAGCTGACATGTACAGCAGAGGTTGGTCTTATCCTACACAAGAGGCGTCACCACTTCTCTGACCTGAGATCAGTTTTCTTTAGGGCTGCACAAGGTAAGATTTAATATCAGTGTGGACCGTGTTTTGTCTTCTCTAGAGCCATTGTCAGATATTACTTCCTCTTTTTTTTCCTGTCAAATCTCCTCCCTTCAGACTCTGATTGGTTACCTGTGTTGTGAGTCAAGGTAACCCCTAGTGACCATTGTCAGTGTGGAGCAAATGTAAACACGGGTGTATTTGCAATGTAAAGCGGCTGACAGGCGAGGGGCCAATCTGCAAACATACATAAGGTTTATATGAGGGTGAAGTCAAGATAATGTCCTTAAATCAAGGAGAGAGGGTCTGGGTAAAATTAGTGGCATTGTCTAAAACCATAACCCTTTTTTATTTAACTTAAAATAAAGAACAAAATAAAAGCATAATGTAAATACGGCATACATTTCAAAAAAAAAGATTTGGGGTCGAAATGTTGGTGACATAGACACACATTCATACAAGGACAATTCTTTATTAAGTCCCTTATGCACTCTAGTGGCAAATGACAGCATAGACAAATGTCAGCATCTTTGAGAGAAGTTTTTTTTTTTTTTTATTTAAGAAAACTCCAGAAATGAAAGAGGAGTCCAAAAATTGGTGCAGTGATAAATGGTGGAATTGCGTGCCTTGTTGTGAGGGCTTAAATATGAGAGATGGTCAGTGTGAATAGTGCATGGGTGTGTACAGCAGTACACATCTGGAATGAGATGAGGAGTGTCTTTGATGTACTTTACACATTATCTAAAGAGATCTATATTTTAGCCTGTTGGATGACTGCCAAAGATGTATAAATGAAATATATAGACATTGTTGTATTGTAATAACTGAGGATTTAAACAATTTGCAAAAGGCGTTTCGTACTTGACTCTTCAATAATTTTTTTTCCATTGGAGAAAAAATTGAATTGAAAAATGTCATATTGTTATTTTAATTACAGATTTTGTTGCTGCATGCATTCATACATCTGGGCTTATCCATGTAAGAATGGCCATGAGTTGGGGGGTAATAACCAGTTACCATCTTCATGAAGGCATCTTATATCTTTAAATTAATTTATTTGAGTGGTCACCAAATGGAAAGCCCTTATTTTATATTTTCACTAGTTAGCTAATTAGCTGACCTCTTTGCATGAATTATTAAATAATTAAAATCATAATAAATGTCCAGATTAAAAGTCATTACAGTAATAACAAAGATACAAAAATGAGTTGTCTTGTTACATAACCCTGTTAATCATTTTTTACCTGAGGTAGCTTCGCCTTTTTAGAGCCTTCCTTTTGAAGTTTTCTCCTCCCTTTGTATGTTCATGTAATTTGTCTTTTTGCTTGAACATTGGGCCGGTTCAGGAATGCTGCAAGTGCTTAGTTTGGCTCTCAACACAGTTAACTCCCTAAAAGTGGCAGTGGGTAGGATTTGATTGTTCCAATATGTGCATGTGTTTAGAGTCTGCAGCAAAAATGAGAAAATGTAAAAATAACCAAATACCTGCAAGATATCCAACCCATGTGCAGCCCATCAGTCTTAGTCCACGCGAGAAATGAATAAACAAATTTGCATACACCTTGACTGATGCGCTGTCAGTGCACAGGACCTGCTTTGAGGCAAATCCTTCTGTCATGCTAGCTTCACACTCGATATACGCAGATCTTTCTGGCTCATATAAATGGTTGGTTGTGTTAGTGCATGATTTGTTGTCGCACAGTTCAAGGAGTCCTACACAGGGGATACATCAAGACTATAAGGTTTTGACAAAGTACTGAACATTTGAAGATGGAGGAAAGTGAAAAAAGATGAAAGATTTGCGCTTGAATGTGGGTTTGTGATGAATTCCTTCTGCCAGTTAGTCTGCTCACCTCATGTGGATTTTGCTACATGGCCTGTTTATGAAACGGGTGAAACTAGGGTTGATCTTTGTGTAGTTTATCAAATATGGTTTGATTTTCAAGAGAGCAGTAATTGAACTACTAATTACATGAATACATAAAATTATTCAAGTAATCAAGGAATAACCGTCACTTGGTATTCTTAGTGATCTTAGTTCAAAACTTTCTATCCCTTGAAGCATTGCCATGGATGGGCCTCACTCAAAACAGATTTTTTTCTTTGTTCCTTCCAAATGTTGAGAGATCATATGCCTGACAGTAGGAATGAACTCCAAACTGTGGTTTAAATCCAAAGTAAATATATGTAAAGGAGCAGAGGTTACAAGTCTTAAAAACAAATGCTTTTGACTGAGTGGGCCAGAGTCAGGTGCAGCAAGCATTAAAGTAGCTCATCTGCTATGTAATGTCTGGTGCTGTGGACTTCTGAAGAGGTCACAAATTATTGCTGTGAATACATTATATTTGCTTGAAATATTGAAATTTTAATCTTGTCTTACATTCTCCTGTCTTAAAAACACAGTAATTACATCCAGTGATACTAAATGCATCATCATAAAGACTCTCTACAGAAATGGTTACTGAAAACAGATAATATTGTAAGAATTGTTAGACATATTTGTACATCAGATGCTTTGTGGTCTATTTAAGCAGGTGTGCACATATCTTGGTGTTCGCCTTGACAGCAATTGGTCTGTTAACATTCAGAATCTGTGCAAAAAAGGTCAGAGCTGATTATTTTTCTACAAAAACTGAACTCATCTGATGTTTGTGCTGCTGTGATTCTACATGTTCTACTGTTCTGTAGTAGCAAGTGCTCTAAGCTATGGTGTGTTGGGGGAGCTGTATTTTTTGTCAAAGACAGGAAAAAACTGGACAAATTGGTAAAGAGGGCTGGGCCGGTAATAGGAGGGAGAATGGAGTCTGTTGGAGCTGTGTTAGAGAGGTTTATGAGATGAAAGATGCAGGTCCATCATCCCCACTAAGGGATATCCCCCTGCATGGGACTGTGGCTGCTCAGAAAAACAGGAGTGACCAACTTCTCTTACTGACCTGCAGAACAGAGCGATTTAGGAGGCCTTTTGTTCCAGTATATGAATATGAATATGAATATGAATAACATGAATTGTAGAAACACTGGCCCCTGTCATGTTTTTGTCATTATTTTTTAACCTTCTTGTCCTAAAAATTACTTTATTTACTGAATGAGTCTGTGTACATCGGGAAAACTTAACTGACCACTTGAATTTCCCAACCAGGGTTGAATCAAGTGTTTATTTATCTATCTATCTGATGTTACTTTAAGTTAGATAATATGTTTATCATGGATGGTTTGGTCTCCCACATGCTTTCAGTAGATGATTATTAAATTGATATTTGTCAATGAAGATTGTCAGTCATCCAGGTTATTAGTCATTTGTTTTATTTCAATTTATATTTTTTTTATTCACCTATCATGATGATTCTACCTTACCTTATATAATCTGTAAATAAGTAAAATTAGAAAAGACACTTTCAAAACCTCCATTGCTCAAAGCCAAACCCTGTGTACGCACCAATGGTGCTAATGTTTATGCCCCCCATTTGCCATAGGCAGCTCTGTATAAATATGCAAACAGGCAATGTGAAGGATTGTAGGAATGTGTGGAGAAAGGGGACCAGGCCAGGTCTGTCCTCTTACCCACGAGACACAGAGTCCATAACTGTTAACGACTTTGGCGCTATCCACATTTAAACAGATGTTGGAGGGAGAGACTGTCCAATGACTGCATATATATGCATACACTGTAGCCGAGATCATCTTTATTAAGTGTAAGGACCTTCGCTGCTCAAGCTAACCGTAGCAGTCTATTAAAAGTTTACAGTCACTTTTATTCTCAATGAGCTTGTGTTTTCTCATTACCCTTTTGACATCCATCTGCTACGTTTTTCCGCCTCTGCTTCTCTGGCTCTTAATAGCAATAAAAATGGCTTTAAATCCCAGCTAGCACTCACTCTAATATCATTATTAGCTTTGGCTGAACAAAACGCAATCCGTTTGTTGACACACTCAGATGCCCTCCATTAATTGAAGCTGCATTGTGAAGAAAAAATACTATTAAGATCAATCATGTGAGTAGAAGCTATAGCTACAAAGAGGAGAATGGATTTGAAAACACAAGTCACAGTTGTAATTCTTTCTGGTGTTGTGTTGACAGCGCATGTCCATAAATCAGCGTTGGCATTTGGGAGAATAATTTGAAGCAGGTTTTGTAAAGCATCATTGGGATGCACATTAAGCAACTGATTAAAACAAACTAGAATTATTTAGTAAGCGACTCTTTCTGCCTGCCTGTCCTGATTATTACAATTTCATGTTGTTTTCACATGTTTTTAACTTTTTGGAAAAAAGAAATCAAAACTGACCCAAGCTTGGCACAGTAGTGGTCTTTTGGATTATATTAGAAGCATAATTTAGCAAGGAATGTTCTGAATGTTATTTCGTTTTAGTTTTGGGCTTCGAATTCTTGTCAAACCACATTGAATTGTTTGAAGACACTCTGGAATAACAGAAGCTCTAGCAGAGTAACAGGGAGAGGAATGCACAGCCTGGAACAGACAAAATACGGCTACAATAAGGGTGACTTCACTGTGGAGAAAAGTGGTGGATGAAACAAAGTAGTTACATTTTTAACAGAACAGAGAGCAGCTTTGACAACTAGCCTAATGTGCTATGTGTGATACTGCTTTAGTTTGAGGAATGGCCCTGGGTCAAAACGTTTTTTTTTTTTTTTTTTTCTTTTAATGAGGCCAGAGATCACTGAGCGCTCTGTTTTAGCGCCTAGCGTCACATGATACCAGTCTTGTCACGGCTAATTCAAAACCACACATGAAATACTTAGGCCACAAGGCTGTTCTTATAGTAGAGCTGCAGAGATGACAGTTAACATTTATTGGAAAAAATAGTGTACCAACAAAAGTATATAGTATACAGTTGGGCCTATAAACATACAAATAGTAAGAATGATAATAAATGTACAATAAATCCCTATAATACACAGCTTCACAGAGTTTCTGTAACATCAGTAGTAATTCAATGATAACTAGTGGCAAACATATACAACATTTCTTCACAATTGAAAAAGTGTATAACAGGAGAGTATGCAAAGTGCTTTGGAGTCTCATTGTCGAATCCTGCTGATTTAGTAGTATCTTCTCTACTTTCATCTGCCAGTGTGTTATTGTAACATCCATTGTGACAGCTCAGAATTGTATATCATGGATTTTTTGTTGTTGTGATAAAAATGCATTAAAATTATTATTAAAAGGAGGGTATGTAGAATTTGTATAAAAAATTCAAAAACATGACCTGATCTGTGTTATCGGATACAAGACATTTTCAAATCAAATATTGCTTTTACTGATAAGTGGAATGTTGATTTTATTCTTATTTACAAAAACACTGGCAATGACGGCCAAGTTGTTGTTTATTCTTTCATTTTGTGTTTTCGTTCTTAAGAAAATTATCCAATGAGAAAGCAGAATGAGCCTCACATGAGTCTCTCACTTTGGTTGCCAGTTCCTGTGACTAAAACCAGTTGGTCTAAACCTAAAAGGACTCTCCAATCTCAATCCTCACTACTTAAACCCATTCAATTATCCAATCATTCATGGCCCAATCATTCATCCTTGCTAGTGCAGCCTCTGCATATCAGTGAGTGAATTCTGGAGATTTTCAGCTTTTACATGAGACATGACCTGTCCATATACTGAAAAAAGGGAAAAACTTGTGTGTCCCTGGTATGCAGGTTAAGGCACTAATGATCCAGGTTCACTTATTTAAATAATTTAGAGCATTTATACCCTACTAATGTCATGCAGTAACCACCTGTAGGTTTAGAGAACAGTTCATATCATCTCTTTGTGGCATCCATTAGGGGCAGGTGATGTTCATAATTAATTCTTGTCCCAACAGAATTTTGATGAAATTGCTATGCCTGGTAGGCTATGAGCTACATTTTGTGGAATAAAAAACTATAACCCTGATAAAATGTTATTTACATATTTTACTGTCACGTTCGGTCATTTCTGCTCCAAGTCACAGTTACTTCTCCAGGACCACACTCCACCTTTTATCACATTACATATATAACTAACATTCACAATTCAGGCTTGCAAGCCCAATGAGTCAACTTTACCAAAAAAAAAAAACTCCCTCCTATATAATCCACGCCTATACAAAAAGCAGAATGCAGCATATTGTTGATTTAAGAGTCACATTTCTCTGTCTTTTCCAAAGTCATGTCGAGGTAATTGGATGAGAAACAGCACCCCATTCGTCTTCCTTGTGTTATCAGCTCCATTTCTTAGCCCCGCCTTCTCAGGCCATAGTGGAGGACTTGTTGGTCAGTCTGGAGTTGCTTTGGTCCGAAGGTCGATCAGACACTTTCATCTTCATACACGACTGTTTCTCATCCATCAGCAACTCAGCCGGGAGACACCAGCAACAGAGACAAGACTAAAGACCAGGAAGTAGAATGCTTAGACCTGATTATGATCGATTTTCTGTTATTGATTAGTGCGGAGACTCACCCTGAAGCAGTTCTTGAAACGCTTGCTGACCATATACAGAGCAATTGGGTTGATGCAAGAGTTTACTGATGCCATGTTGATTCCAATGTAGTCCAAAACAAGAAAGAAACTAAAAGAGTGGGATATTTTACATGGGACAGGGAGATTTTTACTTCATATTGATTGTTGATTTCTTTTTTTTTGTCAAACTACAAAAGACTATAGAAAATATTAAATTTCCTGAGCAAAAACAAGACTTTTAATAACTGACATTTATAACAAAATTATAGTAATTTTATTTTACTCCACATGTTTTAAAGATAGAAGACTGTGGACCTCTTGACAATTACAAAACTCGATCATTCTTCATTCAAATTTAATTAATTGCTCAACTTTACTTTACTTGTTGGTGTTTTCATGTTACCTTAGAAGTTCACAGCGATTTGGGTCTTTCTCGTCATAAATGGTGAGTTTGAGGATACGGCTCAAATGGAGAGGCAGCCAGCAGAGAGCAAAGACAAGGACCAGGCAAAACACAGTTTTGGCCACTTCCCTTCGCTGAAAAATACAGTTCACATTTTGGAAGACTCAAGAATACTGTGAATATTATATTATAGAATAATGTGTGTCATTGTGTCGAAACTGCAGCATTACAGTATCTATTTGAAATTTATCTTTAAAAATTGTCTTCTCTCAGTAATTGAATTGTTGAGTCCTGATGCAGCCTAGATTTTTTTTTTCAGTTTGGTCATGATTTGTAAGATCATGACTGATTTAAGTCATGCATTCAGTTGGTCTTTGTCAAAAAGAAATATTACAGTCTATGCATTTTTTAGGAGTTGTTCATATGAATTATTGTATAGCAACCTATTCTTTATTCATGATTCTCAAAGGGCATTACCACTACAATTAACTATTCTTCTGATAGTTAAGAAAAAACAACACATCAAGCAGTTTTAACCTGTTTCAGATGATCACTCAGCGCAATCTGGACTCCGTTCTTCTTTCTGAGCATCTCACAGGTCATCAAAGTGTAGAAAATGGCAGTGCAGACCAAAGGGAGGCAGAAATATGCCCCGAACAACCACCAATCTTTTGCAGACTTATAAAACTGTAAAGAAAAATGAAAAACATGTGTTAGAGCTTACACAGACATCCTCTCTTGGGTGTGAGTTAAGCAGTGTCTGAAGCAAATTGCCTAAATGTAAAGTGACCCTTGGTGAAGGGGAGAGGAGCCCTTGGGTGGGTCTCTTTGACGTGTTGAGGTGATTTTGAAGAGTAATTTATTGGACGACTTCAGGGGTTTTAAAAGGCCTTGTGTTGTTTTAAGGTTGATGGAGGACATGAGAAGCACAGATTTCCAGGCACATTGATTGTAAGAATAGTTTCTACTGGCCTTGAGTGCTACAGCTCCCAAGACATGTCATTATAATACATTTGTGTCATTACTTTATGACTTTAAACTCCATATAACCCTATTGAAGCGTTCCTTGTTTATTTGCAAGGACCTTTAGACAGACATTCAGATGTGTCAGCTCTACAGTAATAGTAACAATCAGATCATATTTTGATACAAATAACAAAACAACTAATCATTTCTAAAAGTTTCTTAATGGTTTGTTTTTTACCTCAAATTGAATAACTCTTCAACCAATTAGATTTTGATTTGTGAACAATATTCTCTTATACCCTCATGAGCTCTGTTTTCTGCATGGGGTGGAGTAGGCAGATGCGGAGGTGCTCGCCCTTGTAGTCCATGGTGATCATATCGAAGCCGATGGCCTCGGGAACGGCCAGGATGATGGAAAGGATCCAGATGAGTGCGATCTCGATGGCCATCCACTTTGGCACTCCAATACCTTTAATACGACTCCATGAGGCCACAGCTCGGTATCTGGACACAACATATGTGAGGTAAAAGAAGTATATGAGATGAGACCAAGGCTTTAATTCTGAGATAGCTGAGCATATTGGCACACTGGCAGGTTTTTACAGAATAATGTATAAATTAAAAAAGTAAACAGTTGCACTTTGGGTCTTCCCTGTATTTTTGTTACCTAATCATCTGCCTTCTAATGTTCACTTTGACACAGCAGCGGTACAACTGAGTCATATTTATTGCTGGATTGTGATAAGGGAAGATCAAGTTATCCAAACTTGGGGAGGGGGGGGACTCCGTGCTCCACGGGGCTAACCGCAGCTGGCACCTGATCGCGCCGCGCAAACACCCTGTCTGCAAGGCACTTCCAAGTTCTAGTCCTGGTTTAGTCCTGGTTTGGTCCTGGTTTTGACCTAGTTTAGTCCTGGTTAATCCTTGGTTCAGTCCTGGTTTAGACCTAGTTTACTCCTGGTTTAGTCCTTGGTTGAGTCTTGGTTTAGACCTAGTTTACTCCTGGTTCAGTCCCGGTTCAGCTCTGGTTTAGTCGTGGTTCAGTCCTGGTTTAGTCCTGGTTCAGTTCTGGTTTAGTTCTGGGTTAGTCCTGGTTCAATTCTGTTTTAGTCCTGGTTTAGTCCTGGTTTAGTCCTGGTTCAGTCCAGATTCAGCTCTGGTTCAGTTTTGGTTTAGTCCTGGTTTAGATCTAGTTCAGTCCTCGTTCATTTCTCCTGGTTCAGTCCTCGGTTCAGTCCTGGTGTAATCCTGGTTCAGTCCATATATGGCGCAAAAGTGCTGCAATAGTAATGTAATGCTTTACATTTTAAATGCAGTAATATTGTAATGTAACGAATTACTTTGAAATGACAGTTACAAGTCATAAGTAATGCATTACAGTTTTAAAGTAACTTGCCCAACAGTGAGGCTGACCACGGCAAACGCAAGGCTTTCAAAAGTAGATTTTAAAGCACTAATTAACAGTCTTTCAAGACCTGGGCTCTTTCACACGACACAGATCTGCCCAGGAGCACGATGCGCTGATGGTAAACGCACAAATACAACAATAGATACATACTCTTTGTGTATTTTGATGGGGATACGCGCCTATGCTCGCGTAGAGCGTCAAAAAACAGGATGTATCCTATTTTCTGAAATCAACGCGCGCAGGACGCGCTGCTCCATACGGGCGTCTAGCGCGTACACTAGAGTCGCCCTCATTCAGTTTCCGCGCATTCTAAAATTTACGCGTCCAAAAGTTGCAATTTTTACACTCGCGTAGGGGGAAATACGTGTGCAGTGGAGCCAGGCCCTAAGCATGGGATCCGTGCGGCTGGTACCGAGGTGGTGCAAAACATCCAGACAGAAGCGTAAAACCTGTTTGGTTGGTTATATGCTATCCTGAGCGGTCCGTCCTTGCACATTTGGCTCTTCCAGAGGAAAGCGCACCTAACACCGCTCCCTGACCTGAATCGGAGCTGCTCCCGCTGGTTAAGTACTCTGGTTTGGACCGCTGTTCCCCATTTTGTATGGGCGTATCCCCAAGCTTAACGACAAACCGAGATGACAAAAAAGCCGGTAGCAGCTTAAGTGTGTGTTTTCTTCCAGTCGACGTAAATACGTTGGTGTCCCTGTCCAATCAGAACCTTCCCCATCCTCAGACGCTGAGAGGAATTAAATAAAGACGATTTAACGTGTTTTCCATGTAAACCTCAATTTGGAATTATTATTTCTATTTAAACTTGAAGGAGAAGAGCACAAAAAAACCAAACCAGTTCTCCAGTTCTATGACCCAATTGACCAAGAAAAAGGCGATTGTACCCGAAAGGCCACAAGTTTGCAGGTATATTATATATATATTTGATTTGTAGATGGGAGGATTGCTTAAAGGTGCACTTTTCTAATGGCTCGTGGAGGGCGCAACCTGCTTGATCTCTGTAGATGTTATTGCACATTTATCTCCATGGGGACAAGCAGATGACACCACCAGACCAAGTTAACGAAAAGATCTGTGTGACAGTGCCACTCATTGTAAGACTGCATGTTTTACAGGGTATTTTTTCTTAGCCTTGTAAACACCTGTAATCAAATAAAGATATTTTCATGCCCTTTACTGTTAATGCCATACTACGAAACATTCCAAGAAGACAAGCAGGCTGCCACAAAAGTTACATACCTTTAATGTCAGTGCTGTCTTACCTATCAATGCTCAAAGCACAGAGACTGAGGACTGTAATTCCCACTGAAGCCTTCTGCACAAATGGCACCAGTTTACACAGAGTCACACCAAACGGCCAGTCCTCTGCCAGCAGCTGTGGATAGAGAGCCAAGTTAGTAAACAACAAATCTATTTTAATATGTGCCACAGACGCCATCGCTTCATCTGTCTTGGTTCACGTGACTTTACAAATCATTTTCAGTTTGAGATTTTACTCTGGATTCCCTCACTGACACCATTTATCTGTACCTGAGATTGCTACTGAGTACATTGTCTTGTGACCCTTGTGGCTGAAGGTCTTTTACTACTAATACTAATACTACAACAACTACTACTTCTGCTTCTACTACTGTTACTACAACTACTTCTACTACTGTTACTACTACTACTACTACTACTACTACTACTACTACTGCTACTACTACTACTGCTTCTACTACTACTAATACCACCACTACCACTACTACCACTAATGCTACTACTGCGACTGCTGCTACTTACTTACTTACTTTATCATTGAGGTACCAATTACTACATTTTTTTTTTTTGTATGAAAGTATTTTCTACTCCAAAACTATTGCTATTACTTAAACTGATAGATGTACTGATTTGACTATATGACTATGCATAATAGTTATTATCTGCACAAAATATTAGACATTCACCAGATTTTCCATTAAGAGTTCGCCTCTTTTTCACATATGTGATAAAAGGAAGGTGTTGAGTTATTATTCTCAAATGTGGGGTCTGTATTTCTTTATACCTCTGAATCTCTCCTGCCTTTGCTCTGGTATGCACACCATGACCTGCTGTTTTCTCTTGCTTGCCCCCTTGGTCAAAAATACAAACACTTCGAGCAGCTCTTTCCTGCACACAGTGAACGACCCCCTTCTGATAATAACATACCAGAGACCTATGAGGATATAGGTGGATCAAAACCAATGCAAGTTCTGGGAAGACTCATGTAGGGGCGTATACCTGTGCAGATGTCATGTTCAACTTTAATCTGTCATGTGACTTTTCCTTAATCATTTTAATACCTCCATATTAAAGCAATTAAGCAAAAATGTAGAGAATGCATTTCAACAAAATCTACTTTCATTCTATGTTGCTTAGTCTTAAAGGGCCCACATTTCACTATTTTCTGATCTGTTATAATGTTCTTTCTTCATCATGAACATACCTTTTTATTTTTTTGTTTCATTCACACATGTTTAACACCCAGACCCTGCATATTTAGGCTGAGTTCTTCTCTCAAACAGATAACACCCTGTTCTGCCTTGTGATGTCATGTGGCAAAACAGGATGTGCTCCACTGTGTTTTTAAACTCCATACACCGTCACTACAATCATTTGAATAATTTCAGCCCTGGAATTGCCAGTCCCAACTAAACAAAAGGTAAAAGGAGCTGTTAACTTGAAAAATATCACCACATGACATCACAAGGTAGAATAGAGAATTTTGAGCTTTGGAGATGTAGCCAGATTAATAATAAAGGGTTACTCAAACAAGTGAGAATGAAACAAAACACAAGTGCAGGTATGTTTTTGATGAGGTAACAATATTAAAACATGTCTTAAAGTTCACAAGTGTCAATTTAGTGTAATATAGGACCTTTAAAACAAGTATGAATAATATCTCACCTTGTAGACATTGATAGGTATGCCAATAATTATATGCAGCAAGTCTCCCAGTGCCAAGCTCGCGATGAGTATATTAGGCCCATTCCTCATGCATTTGTTCTTATAGATGATCCTCAGGAGAGTGGAGTTTCCAATGATTCCAACCACAAACACCAAACAGGAAACCACTGTATTAATGTACTTAAATGTGTCTCTGATTTCAGTTGGTCCTGTGCACATTGGTGGCATGCGTCGTCTTGGCATGGTCATATTGGGTCTAATGGGACCCTGCACCTCTCTCTCCACCAGCCCGGGCCTCTGGGTGATTGAGAGGGGCTGCTCCTGCTGCTGCTGTCCATTAATCACTAATAGTAGGCTGGATAAGACAAGTAACTCCAAGCAAATAAAATCTAAAGTCTTCATTTTCCCCTCTCGGTTTGAGTAAGATCCAAATTGTCTTCTTAGAAATTACCTGAAAAAGCAAGTAAAAAGTTTGAAAGTAGACAGTTCTCCTGCATCAGGCTTGAAAGTTTTTGTATCCTCTTAATGAATCTTAACTTAGCATTACAAACAATTAACATAACTTTGAACAGTAATAACTAGATCCAATTGTCTGGGTATGAAATTACCTGAAAAAGCAAGCAACAAAACAAAATTACATTACAGAAAATCAATTTTATCAAAATATATTGAAAGAAAATGTCTTTATTTTTTGCATATTGATTTTGTTTTTAAGACAAAATGCCCCAGTGATGGCTTGCTCATATTATTTTTAACTTAGAACCAACAAAAGGTTCACAACCCCCCCTATAGATATATACATATACATTTTTACAATCTCCATTTTTAAATTTTTACAATCTTCTTTTGTATACTTACCTAATCATCAGATACAAGTGGAACTCTTAGTACTCCTCATTAAATCTCCTAACAAGCACATCCAGGCCATAGAAATTGTCCCAGTATAGCGGAGTGATGCTGTGAATGCTCATATCCCAAAGTCCAGCTGTGTTACATGTGTCCCAGATGTGGAGGTGGAGGTCCCGTGGCCCACACTGACTTCAGCTGCAGTTCACTCAGCCTCAAGTCTCTCTCACCCCTCCTCTTTTTATGTAGACAAGCCCAGGAGGACGGACACAGCTACGGAGAAGTCCACATGGTGCACTAGTGTTTACAGTGTAACACATGTGATAGGGATGTAACATTATTCAAATTTCAATATGATAGTATAATAATATAAAACAACCGTGGGGAGACTTGTAGTTTTTGTCAAAAAACATTAAAGGTGCATCATGTAACTTTTTGGGAAAGGGTTTGTCAACTGATTATTTCTGTGGATATGTCATTCCTCTGCTGGGATGTACCACAGTATGACATTAAATGGCTCTATCTTACATTTATTAATTTAGAGGTGTTTTTAGCTCAAAAATACATAGTAAAACAGCCATTCTGACCGTGAGCCCGGTTGCCTCTCCACATATCTGACTTGTAATTTGTTCTGGTTTGGGCTCCATGATAATCAAATTGATCGAATCGAAAAAAACAGACAAAGCAATAAAATCGCCATGGAGAAAAGTATTTGATGGACCCTCCACCAGAAAAATTACACAATGCACCTTTAATTTTCAAGTTTTTACTAGAGACATTCAGTAAACTTCTTTATACTACTTCACCTTGATAAAGCATGAACAAAGACTTAATTCGTAATGAACAATTTATTTAAAAAGATTTAATCTTAGTAAGTACTTAATTAAGGAGTTAGGGTTAGGGATTAACATACTTACTAACGCTGAATCATTCACAATAAACAATTTGTTCATTGTGAATTAAGTCTTTATTCATGTTTTATTAAAGCTAAAGGTGTAGTTATTATAGTGTTCATTTCAATCAACAATTCAGCAAATCGAATTAGGGGTGTATTTGACTTCACTTCAACATCACTCCATCGAAACTGAGCAAAGGATCATGGTCTATGTAGTCACTTCATGCTGTCATTGTTATTGTTCTATATTTTTATAATAATTGTTTTATTGTAAACCTTTGAGACTGCCTTTTGGTGAAGTGGTGACTATGGGACTGTCTGTCATGTGGTAAACTGGGATTATATTACCTGAGGCACATGTCACATGATCACCTTTGTGCCAACACCAAGCCTGGATCAATAAAACACTTCAGCCAGGAAGAACAGCCAGATTGGTCATAGAGATTTGAAGAGCCCCAAATAGTTCTCTCTATTTTGGGCTCTGTCAGCTGTCAAAACATAAGGTTTGGGTGTTTTGTAGGAAATTTTCTTATTTCCACATACTGTAGATGTATCCATATAGATGTGAGACCCGTGAAAATAAATATGGATATCCTGTTAATCTAAAAGTAATTTAAAGTGGCAAGAAATATGCCTTTGTTCCTCTTTCTTTATCCCACTAACCTGTACAAATGTTCGACTTGGGTCCAGTTTTCACAGCTGCAGATGGTCCACTGAGCACTGCTTTAGGTCTGTGCGATTTAACATGCAGACATAACAGTACATGTGCTACTATGGTGAAAACTGTACAATTTTAGATGTACTTTTTTATTTTATAGTTTCAGTTTCCTTTATGGAAGAAAACATGTGATTGTGATCTTACATTGACTCAAGACTGCTGTGAATCATAGAGGATCTATGTATCAAATTTAATTTCCTTCTTTGACCTGCTCAAAGCTGTTATAAAAACACTGGACTGAGGCGCTTGTTCTAATAACCAGATCCACTTGACTCAGATCCCAAGGTCTTAAACATCATGAGAAAAATGTCTGACAAAGAAAGTTCACTGTTTGCCAACCACGTGTTAAATGGATTTTTCACTCTTGTGTCTGGTAATGTAATAGTTTAACTGTTTATTTACTAACGATTAAGATTATTTAAGAAGATTTAAAAAGACAAATTAAGGATTTTCTCTTGCTTTGTCCCACCTGTAATTTCTTACTGCCTAAAGCAAATATGGCCAGTCTATTTCATAATTTGTGAATCATGAACCAATTTAAAGGGATCTCTGCTACCTGTGGCATGTGGCTGCTTCTCCACAGATTTGGCCTGATGGTGTTATCTGCTGGTTTCTATGGAGATAGAGACAAGTTCGATACTTCTTTAAACTTGCTATTTCTTCCCCTATATGTTTCTTAAAAAATTGCAATTAAGGAAACAGCCACAAGTTGTGAGTGAAAAAATCTGGATCACGTGGCCTTTCCTTAAGAAGGATGTCTTATTGTGTTTAATGACAGTCATATGAGCTAAGCCCTTATCATTTAATGTGCAACTTATCTTGATCTCTTTGACATGCATTTAGTAGTAGTAGGTTCATAGTCGCTGATTGTGGTTTCCCTATTAGCAAAACACATCAGAAATATCAGCTGGCCTTTTCAACTCTTGTTTCCTCCTTTGACTCTGTGTTGTCTTGGTGTCATGTGCAGTCTCATGGTCAAACTGGAACCTTCAGATGACAAAGGTGTCTCTATTGTACACTCATCCTTTTAAGTTAACAGTACATTTTAATCCTTTAGTTTCAACTGCAAAACCCCATATTATAAACTACTTCAAGAGAGGAGTGTTTCCCTTTGAGGTTAGCAAATGTATTTCTACAGATATTTAAGATTGTAAAGTCTACAGATCAGAAAGTAGATGATCCAAGAAAGGTCCTTGGGAAATATACATAAAGCCATTAATAGGGTCCTATTTTCAAGAGCACAAAACCTGGAAGAAAGAAGAGGTTTGTGTCATATAACACTGAATACACTATAATCATTTAAGTCAAGTGGTTCATTTGTCATTATGAACACAACAAAATTGCATTAATCAGATTAAGTGTTAATTAAGCACCAAAATAAGGATGCAAATGACAGCTAAAAATAAGGATGATTTGCTTTGACAATGGCCTTAAGAAAAAAGCCTCAAGATGTGAATGCTGTTTGTCAGTTGTAACCCTTTCATGCATGACTGGTGCATTTTGCCTGAAAGAATGATCTCGTTATCACCATTAACAGTCTCTCTGACCCACTGCCATTTTAGCGCCTCGTGAATAGGTCTAATCATAAAATACACAATAAAGTAAAGGTCAGATTAGCATAGTACTTTGTTTTCTAGATAAAATATACATTTTTGTTCATGTTAAGGTACCTGCTTGTTTCCATGTAAATGTTGCTTTGCTAGGAAGTTTCATAGTTAGGCCCGAGCGCCAGAGGCTGGCGAAGGGCCTATTAGTATCGCAAAGCGATGCTCCAAGTGGCCCGAAAGTGAAATGGCGCGACGTGACTCGCCTGTAGTGACCAGGGACCCTCGCCATCACGTAGCAATGTGCCCGAGGTTTCCGAAAATGTATAGTTTGTCGGCCAAAAAAAAGCGGAACATTGTTCTCGTATCAGAATATTATTCTTTCTTCTTTCTTATTTTTTTCCTAACAAACTCCCCCATTTTTCACCCACTGAACAATGACGAAAAGTCCTGGAAATTTTGCCATCTGGTAAAACTCGTGCTTCTCTAACTTTTGGCTATTTCCATTTTCCAAAAATAAATAAAATGGCTCGTCAGCACCCCCAAACGTCTCAAAAATGCATTAGGGAATACGAATGGCACAAAAAAAAATTTGCACGGACAATCATGAAATTTAACACAGAATTCGATCATGTCAAGACAAGGAAAAAATATTACGCCAACACCGTGCGCTCCATTAGGGGGCAGCAGTATTGGCTTAAAGTTAGCTAAGCTTTTACGAACTCCTCCGAGGGCGTTCACCCGAACGAGCTCAAATTTGGTCCACATTATCTCAAGACAAGGTACATCAAAAGTTATCCACATTTTTCACACGTCTTACGGTCCCTGAGCAGTGAAGCAACAAAAAATGTTTTGTTAAATTCTCTGCCCTGAAGCTACTTAATGTGGAAATTATTAATTTGGTGCATTAGCGCCCCCTATAGATTGAAACAAAATTTAATATGGAAGAAAATCATTTGTTCCTAAATAGTTGTTCAAAAATGTCTGAAATTTTGCACAAAATTCCATTTTGACATCCTGATCCAAAATTCAATGACACCCATGTCATATTTTTTATGGCGTTGCCATAGCGATGACATAAACTCTCCATTGGTAAAATCTACAAATTCTGGCACAAACTTTGGCCGATTTCACTCAAATTTTAATCGTTGATTGACACCCCGACCCTGAACAGATTTATGTAAGAAAATCTCAAATGGGCGCAATAGCGCCCCTAGGCAAATTGCACGGTAGTGCAAAAATGTACTTCGTTGTAGACATATAAAATTTGGTACACAGCTTCATGACATGGTGCCGATCAAAAAAGTCAATAACGACCCCATGCCATTTCCCATCGTGTTGCCATGGCGACAGGCTAAACATCTGCCCTTGCCAATAGGACGCCCAACAAAAACTTTGGCGTAGCCAAACCAAATTTGGTATCCAGATGCATCATGGCAATAAGAACAAAAATGTATATTGTGACCATGACCTATGGTCATGAGCTCTGGGTAGTGACCGAAAAGGACGAGATCGCGGATACAAGCGCTCGAAATGAGTTTCCTCCGCAGGGTGGCTGGGCGCTCCCTTAGAGATAGGGTGAGGAGCTCAGTCACACGGGAGGAGCTCGGAGTAGAGCCGCTGCTCCTCCACGTCGAGAGGAGCCAGTTGAGGTGGCTCGGGCATCTGTTCCGGATGCCTCCTGGGCGCCTCCCTCGGGAGGTGTTCCGGGCATGTCCCGCCGGGAGGAGGCCCCGGGGAAGACCCAGGACACGCTGGAGGGACTATGTCTCTCGGCTGGCCTGGGAACGCCTCGGGGTCCCCCCGGAGGAGCTGGAGGACGTGTCTGGGGTGAAGGAAGTCTGGGAGTCCCTGCTTAGGCTGCTCCCCCCGCGACCCGGCCCCGGATAAGCGGACGAAAATGGATGGATGGGTGACCACGCCCCTTTACAAACCAGAAGTCTGCCATCTTGGATTTTTTTTTTTTGCCAAATTTTGGAATTTGCAGGGTTAAATTAAGATTTATAGGGTTAGGGTTGGAGCTATGGTTAGGATTACGATTAGGATAAGGTTTATTAGGGTCAGTGTGAGGTGCGGCATTTGCGGGGCACGGCGTTTGCAGGGCGCAACGTTTGCGGGGCGCGGCGTAAGTACGCACGAGGGCTGATCATTGCCGCTTGCGGCTATATTTAGCATTCATCTTATCTATCTCACATGCTTTTAGTGATAGGGTTTTAATTGCTCTAAAATACATTGGAGTGTATTCATACACTGCACTGGCTCGCTTCTCCACAGATCTGACCTGTAATTTGGCCTGTTGTTGTGACCTTTTTGCTTTCATTGAGATAAATAAGTATGCTACCATTCTTGGAACATTCCAGGCAAAATAACATCTCCACAGAGACAAGTTACAGAGTGCATCTTTAAAGCCAATAAGTTAAGATAACATGTTTATGGAATGAGATATATAAATTGGATAAGATATGCTAGTCAAGGGAAGTCAGCTGTCACTCAAACTTTTCTCTTCCCTCTCCATAACAGTGACTTACACACCAAAACAGACTTAAAACAAAGATGGACACACCTCGTTTTTATCAGCTCCTGCATCTGTGACCTTTTTTTAATAGTTGGAAGAGCGATCTCTCTACTTTCTCTAAAAGCAGAAAATCATTTTGGTTGAACATAGTGTAGAGAACAAAGAACCAACTTGTTTTGGAACAAATGGGAATTAATCGGCTTAGTGTCATAAACAGGGCAGATCACCTACTACAACAATATGTCCACTGAGCACGCTCGGTTCAGTTACATCTTGACATTACAGCCCATGTACCCCGTTTACTGCTGCTGCCTGGTCTGGCTCAGAGTATAATAAGGAGTTTATGGCCTCTGCCTCTTGACCTTATGGGTAAAGTTAGGGGTTAACCAGAATCTCTTCAGCAGATCAGTAAAAGTGTGAGGATGATACAATAGCCATATCTTTTCTCTTCTTTGTTCATTCATTGCAAAAGTCTTAAGGTTAAGTAATAAATAACCTCAAGAGAGGTCTAAAATGAGGAGTATTCATCATTTAAATGTTTTCTTCTAAATGATCATTCAATGGATATTCTATAAGCTAGTCCATGTTTGATGTGTACCACCAGTTAATTCTTCAGAATATGGCTGCAAGAAATCTATACATAGATTACTATTTATTATTACATACTAAAACTATTAAAACATTTAATTATTACATACTAAAACTATTAAAACATGTGATACTGAAAAAAATTACAGAAAATAACCTTTCCTGAATAGTTTTAGAATGATCTAGGATATACAGTATGTGGTCACTTGGTATTAAATAAACTGTGTTACTTCCATTATTATTTTGGGTTAAAAATTACTATTACTAATTTCCAGTTGTTGTTGTTTTTTGTTGTTTTTTTTTACATTCTATTTTATTCTACTGTTTAAATGATCATTGTACTATCGAAACTGGTATTGTGTATTGAGATTTTTCCTCAGTTTGTAACCTGTATTTTACAGATAGAAAGATAAAACCAT